TGTTGCATGTATGATTGAAGTCGAAAACTGACTGTGGATCAACCACCATTAACCCCTGCGCCACCACAGCACAACCCCTTTTAGGTGAGGGTTAATCACGTTTTAACTTAAGCACTATGTGTTGACAACACTGAGTTGTGATTCCGTTCTGTACCCAGATTCACTAGCGGAACAAGTCAGCGTTGGGCCGGGGGGCGGGGCTAATTACCGGCCCCTGACGTTTATCGCCTGCGCTACCAGAAACTGTTGAGCGAGGGGCGGGGAGGTTGGTCTGCGTTTTTTGGTTGATCTTTACCCAGGAAACACATCGGCTAAACCGTGAGTGAAACGGTCACTGGGACTGACTAGTATATATTCCATTGAGGGAAAGTAACTTTAACATTAAATAGACCTTTCTCAACAGGCGGTAGACTTTCTCAGTCTATAATCAGATATTTAAGCCCCCCCCCATAGCTCTGCGCCTGCCCAGATTGCACATGATAGCAGTTCAACATTGAATTAACATCTTTTGCCAACAAGCCAACAGCGAAGTGGCTGTGTGTTATTCACATGGCATATTTCTGCCATGTGAATTATAATTAATTATAATTAATGTGTGAAATATCTAGAGACTATAGCTACTGACAGATATTAAGCAAATCCTCAACAAATGATCAGAGATGAAGCCTCTCTGCTGGTTAACTGGTTTTCTGTACAATGGGATGTAGCATCTTGCAAAATTAAGTTGTAACATTTGTCATCACAAAGTGTCAGTGAATGTTGTCAGCATGCTTCTTCATCTCATGAATAAGTGAATTCATTTTAGGCGCGGCCATAATGCATTGCTTTGTTACAGACTCTTATTCTGAAGTTAGACAGGAAGTATTAGTTGAAATGTTTCCTCGTTTTGTTGACTTTGCTTCAGGCTGGTGGACAACATTCAGCTGAAAGCATTGCAGTGAGCCACTGTGTTTGAGCTTCTTATGTTGGATTAAAACAGGAAATAGTTTTTAACTCGTCTTGAAATGATTCATTTAGATATTAGCATTGAACAAACCTCCGCTGTACTGAAGCAGTTCATATTTCAGCAGTTTGGCTCGTCAGTAGAACAAAGACAGAATGAAAACAAGACATGAGTAATCTTTGTCTACTTTGGAGCTCTCCATCTGTGTTAAAGAACGACTATGAATATTTTTTTTGTTGTTTTCTTTTTTTAAATAGGCTTCATTTGATCATCTAAAATATTTTGTGCCTAAATGGGAGCACTCTCACTGGTTCTAATTTAGAATTTCAAAAGCATTAAAACTGCAATATAAAGAATCAAAAGATTCAGATTAAGGATTTGTAAAAATAGTTTGTGATTTCTGGAACCTTTGCGAAAAACAAAAAAGGAGGGATAACTGGATTTTCCCAACAACATTCACATATCGTCATGGGAACTGGATATATCTTTTCACCCCTCAAAGCCGTTGCTACTATAAATAGATTTTGAGGCAGTTCAGCGGCTGAAGTGATGATTAAATCTTACATTTGTTTCTGTATGTTTCCTGAAAATCAACAGCGAATACCTTGGATATTTTCTGTCTCTGGTCTTAAGGTCGACGCCTTCAAGCTCCTCTTCAGTCTCGTTCGTTTCGTCTTTTTCCTTCCTTCCACAAAAGTTTTCACATGTCACATCCAAGCCCTTTTCTGCATCCCTAATTCTTTCTCAGGGTTACATCATGAAAACATTTTCCCCAGGAAAATTACGAAGTGAGTGAGGCAGCGTTCAAATCGAGCCGGTCTGTCAGACATAAAAGTGAAAACAAACATTAATGCAGTAAAAATTCAGAGCTGTTGGAGCTGATCAGGTTTGCATTCATATGGCACCTGCAACGAAGTAGCAAAACTGAAAAATCCATCAAGTACTTAGCCATTGATCTACACTCTGGACTTTGTAATACACACAGATGTATTTTCTTTTTTTCAAACTGCAGATGGACAAATCAATCAGATCTACTTCAAAGCCAATCTGATTAATAATGAACCATCTCTCTCTGCAGGGAACAACAACAGCTCCTTAGATGATTCACAGACAGTAGAGCTGAGGGCCGAAAGATTTGGTAACCATGTCTATGTAGAGCAGGAAGCAGAGATATGGAGGGCAGTCAGTGACAAGAAACAGTTAGAATGCATATTTAGAAAAAAGAGTCAGACAGCACATAAACCGAAGCTGGCAGCTTGATTTTTAGTAATAGATTAATAATAATTATACAAAGTTAAACTTAAAAAAAACATAGAAACTAATTGGATGTAAACAGCGACTGCACAGTAATCCACATATTCTTACAGAAAGTTACAAAAATGACAGTGCTTGGTATCACACTTATTGGTCTTATTATATTGATTGTATAATCAGTAACAGATCAGTTTATATTGGTTTTTAACTGATGAAGTGAGATATTTATCCTATTGGATATGTTTAAAATGAAAATAGAACAAGATTATCAACAGTTAATTTAAAATTACTGAATGAATCAAACAAACTACTTTTACTACCCTTCCTAATCCACACACGTCATCATTTTGTCCACTGCTTCGTTTCTCCTCCTCAGTTATTCACCAGACATTTGGATGACTTTGGGTCACCATGTTCTAGTCCACATTTTAAAGCATTTCTTCAGTCAGTTGATACGGTGGCAGACAGGTGCAAACACACGACTGATCCAAACTCCAAACACACACACGCACACACACACACACACACACACGCACGCACGCATGCACGCACGCGCACACACACACAGACAAAACCCAACAGAAAAACACTACAAGGAAAACATTCCACAAAATAGAAGCAAAAATCTGCAATCAACAAAACGAAAACTGTACTTTTTGCGCCTCTCAGGCGCTAAAGATAATTTCTAAGTTTGAGTATTTTGTGTTTGCATCAGTTATGTGTTTACATTGCATTTCCCAATGCGTTTGCACCTGTCTGCAATTAGGAATAAAAAAGACCTGTAATATTAAATAAATGGTTTTTATAACTAAAAAATAGTTAATGAATAGTTTCCATTAGAAAGAAAATTATTGTGGTTTCCTGTTCTGATATTAAAATAAACAGGAATAAATTTGTATGTTTCTCAGTTTTTTCCCCTCTTTGTTTGTGTCTTTTATCCAGGTCCAGTGTTCATTTATACGTACCCCTGAGCCACACATGGGACTGGCAAGACTTCTAGGTAATGTGAAAAAAATTAATGGATTGAAACAGTTCATGAAGAAAACTGATGTAGACTGGAATTATCTTAATTCATCATCAAGGATGTCAGCAATCATTTCAAGAACAGTTTTTTCATTTCTTTTTTTCAAAAAAGGTTTACAAAAAATATATATTCTTATCCAAACAGAATATTCAGCAGTAGCTTCACCATCTAGATTGATCCAGTCAACACCAGAAGGGACAGGGAAGGAAAAAAATCTGATTCCTCTGCAGCCAGTAAGAACGATGAGCTCAGCAAAAAATAAAAAGTTCTGTGAATACATTTGCACTGATCTGAGTTCTGAGGATGATCAATGTCCCCATCACTGCTGGATTCAGCTTCATAATTCAATCACATCATGAAAATCATCGATGAGTAACTCTGGTACGGCCTGGGCAGCAGACCAACCGCAGATAATAGCAGATAAAAATAACTTCAAATTGTCAGTTTCCAAAGCATGGCTCTCATTTTCATCATGTTGGCTTCAGAAAGGCCAAAGCAGCAAGAGTACAAAACGACAAGCAGGAGAAATGAGCAGCAGCTGTAACGTTTCTTCTCCACACGTAGGAGCAGGAAGAGTCAGGTGGACTAAAGACACAGCTGAGTGTGTAACCTGATTAAAAGCTGTTTTCTCACACTTTGATCTGTTTCATTGAAGAAGTAGCCAGATCAGCGCAGACATGTTGTTTCCCTAAATCATGCCAGACGATCGGCCCGTCAGGATCCTGAGACAAGCTGGTACATCTGGGATTCCTATCAAATGCCAATCAGCCAACTGTCAAGTCTTGCTCTTATGTCGTCATATTCAATCATTTAGAATTATGCTCTCAGATGAGGCTTATTTGTTAGATTTAAGCAGGCATCAAACATATTTTCACCAGACTCCCAATTCTGATGTTAAGAGTTTTTTTTAATGGTCTGATGTAATATTCAAATTTTAAATGTTATGTTTTTGTTACCTTAAACTAAAATTAAGTCATCATATTTAGCATAAAAGCTTCCATCATCCATCTGTGTAATTAATCTATATAATATGTTTTACCCAATGTCTGAGTTCCTAAAATAAATGGGCTTTTCAGTAATATTCTAATTTACTGAATGGATCTGCAACAATAACTAACATTATCACATTATAATAGAACATCTTGAACTTTGTTACACTGAAAACAAACTTTTAACCAGTGAAAAATTAGTGGCAGTGAAATCTAATTACGCCCAGAGATTAAATGACCGCTTAGTGAGAAACAAGGATCATGTCTGGAGTTTGATATTTGCTGCTAATGAAAATAATTAGTTCATTAACTTCACACTATCAATGTTTCTATTTTCTATACAACAAGTACAGATTCACAAACAGAAAGAAAAGAGAGAAAATAAATACATTCAGAGTCTTTGAGACGGAAGAGCCGCTAAACCCAGCTGGTGTGGACAAGCTAAAGCTTTTCAGATGAAATAAGAAATATAATCATCGAAACATTTCCTATACAAGTACAGATTCTGTTAAGAAGAGGAAAAACATGTTGGATTTATTTTTGACATTTAAAACAAGATCCGAATTAAAATGTAGGCTAACTATTTCTATCTACAGTAGAGTGAAGATGGACTATGAAAATGGATTCTATCACAGATGTTAAGTCAGCGCTCTGCCTCACTGTTGGTCTTGTTATAAGAGAAAAGAACAACAAGGTATCTTGTTGACTCAAAACGAGCTCCTACATCTTGCTGAAAAGTCACTTGTAAGTTAATTTTGTGTCATTTCATTACATTGCAATAACATAATTATGTTGCTTTTGTCCTAATTTTTTTGCACTTTTTTTTCAAGAAAAAAAAAAAACAAAACTTAGAGTGGCTGGTATATTATCCATCATTGACATCACATTTCCAATCAAAGCAACAATCTGAGTGACAGAAAAGTTTACAAAAGACTCAGACCTGACAGGCTGGACATCCCTCAGCCCCTCCTCTTCTCCTCCAGCATCACACCAAGCCACCCTGTTTATTTATCACCTTTTAAAAATCAGGTTACTAATTTAATGGAATGCATTCAAACTTAGCAATATGCAAATTATTTATTTAGGAGTTTTATTTTTAACTTCAGGCTTCAAAATTATGTCAGGTTGTTACTGGACATAATGACTGTATACAGCAGGAGTTGCCAAGGTGATTTAGTACCGAGGTCATGCACCTGTTACTCAGGATTAAATGTCAGGTCGAGTTTAATAGAAATGTTGTCCAGCACATTTCACCAAAATGTTTTACACCATAAAACCACAATACAATAATTATGAAACAAGGAATAAACATTACATTTGTAATCAAAATCATCAAGAAAATATACTTCAACTATATTCATCAATGTTTCCATTAGTAATCAAAAGTAACTCTAAACAAGTGGGACAGCTTTGAATTAAAGGAACTCAGTATTTTGGCTGCTTTGCAGTTTTCTGGAAGTTTGTTCTCTGAGCTAATGTGGGTCATTCTTGATGTGTTGCAACTGAGCTTCCACGTCTCTCTGGCTCAGCTTTACCTCTGAGCTCCACTTGAGCACTAACTGGCTAACTGTGTAAAAAATTTATATGAAATCTTCAAGTTTGGTTCCCCACTTTGGAAAACAATCCACTGTATCTGTTGCTGTTGTTGCTGTATCTGTTGCTGTTGCTGTATCTGTTGCTGTTGTCACCAGCCATTTTTCCATCTGACTACGCAAACGGCTTGCAGTCAGAAACCGTTTCCTCTGTGTGTGACATTCTGGGATTGAACTGATGACGTGAGCCTTTCCCAGTGATTTACAGTGTTTCTGAAGAGACTCAGAGGAGACTTCCAGCATCCTGTCTCCCTCCTGTCTGATCCCTCTTCCTCACCCTCACCCCTCTATCTGCTGGCCATTTCCCTCTCTTGATTTGTTCCACCACTGCTTGACCTTTCATGTGTGCGACCGTTTACTGGGGGGTAAAACGCCAACGTGAAAGGTTGAATTTCAACTGCCATCTGTCGGATGAAAGCAAAGAGAAAGCATCTGACTGATAGAAATATAAAACATTGTTTCAAAGTGAGCTGAAAGACCTTTTGGGTCTTAACAAGCCAGCCGAGTTCCTAAATTTTGATCCCTTGACTCTTCTGTAGTCCACCCCAAAGGATAGAGCTTCAGCGTTTCTTCAGTAGATCTGACAGAGCTGAACAACAAAGCTGCTTCTCTGCAGCTAAACTGTGTGTGTTTTTGTTCATTTGCCAGGTGAAGACGTCTGTTGAATCACAGGCCACAGTGGAAGCAGCCTGTTTGGTCAGAAGGGTTCTGTATGCAGCAGCAGTAGCGGCAACAGCAGCAGCTCCTTCACAGCTGCAGGAAACCAACCGTTACTTCCTGAACGTTGCAGCCGCTGCCCCACAGCTGGCCGTCAAAACAATTACTGACAGTGACACCATACTCATAGTTACTGCAACTAAAACCTAAAAATAGAAAGTTTATCTCCAACTACAGATGCACCGAAAATTATCCCAACCCCGCTGCATTTCTTGATTCAGACATTTCCAATAAAAGTGAGTGAAGCTGATCAGGCACCAGGTTGGCCTGAGGTCGTGGACCTTAGGTTCCTCATTATGAGGTACTGGTGTAAAGTTGCACAGAAATAATTTGAGTCGTAAAGCCTTTTTTCACATTGTTTTATTTATTTAAAAATGTGACAATGGGAGCAATAACTAGCAGTTTAAACAAACTACTATTTCGGCTAAATATTTAGTAATAAGATAAACTGTTATCTCCAAATTAAATATTTAGTTAAGATAAATATTGACCTTCAAACTAGTTTAAAGCTGTTTGGTTGAATACTTTCAGGTGCAACAAGGCACTGACTGAAAGATTGAGATGATTTTGTTAAAATGTCTTTTAAACCATTCGCACAACAGATTTGTCCCCAAAGAGAGGGCACCCCCCCCCCCCCCCCTCAGCCTCTTCCTATGTTATTGCCTCAGGCTGAACCTCAGTGGAGCCTAAGAGTAAGACTCCCAACACTGAAATAAATTTGATCTGGAGATTTTTTGGCAAGCAAGACAGACGGCCTCAGGGGTTTTATTCAAGGCATCAATAAACTTTTTGCATCTGACCACCTGTAACATCTTTCACCTTTTCAGGGCTACATGTAAAACATCTTAGACTCTTTCAAAAACATATTTCAGCTTTTTCCTATCCTGATGGTCAGAAGTCCTCCTGACCAGCAGGAAGGACGTTGCTCACTCGCCCTCCCAAATGGAGCATGGGAAGCTAAGAAACAAGAGGGAACTTTTGGCAATGAGTCAGAGTTTTGATAAACATGAAGGATGTAACTTGCATGTTTAGCATAAGATATGAGTAGGTTATCATGTTATTGTTTTTTTGTTTTTTTTCCCCCTTTTTTTTAAACTGTCTCCATGTCGTGACAACATGAGACTGAAAATCTGTGAAAAGATCGATCTCCTCCACCTCCTCCCTGAGCTGCTATTGAATCGGTGCCTATGCTAACTAGGATTAGCATTAACTAGAGGATATGCTAATAGGGAAAATCTGTAGCATGGGGTGGAGTGAAGAGGTGTATGAGCAACGCCACATGAGATTGTGATTGACAGCGCTAAGTCCCGCCTCCTGGCTTTGATTGATTGTTTCTAGTTAGCTCTCAGAGAAGGCAGTAGAGATCAATGTTTTCACAGGCTATCCATCTCATAGTGACAGCTTCAAAAATTATTATTACTATTATTATTTTTTTATATAAAAGTTACATACTTACCCATATTATGTGATCAGATCACATGATCACTGTGATACATTCTGGGATTCGGTTTTCCTCCAGTTCTACTTGTGTAGTTCAGTCCTTCAGGACTCAACAGGCTGTGAAAGACTAGACTGGGATGGAAAGCTTTACTGTCCAGCAGGATAACTGAGCGACAGTGTGAATGAAAAGTTCAGAGCTTAATTCCACTGAGGATCTGTTGGAATCAGTTTGCTAACAGTTCAAAACGACTCTTAACAGACGCTCTTCCTAAATCTGACTGAGCCTGAACTATTTAGTACAGAAGAGTTGGCAAAAACTGAATCTGTGCAGGTGCAAAGCTGGTAGAGACATACACCAACAGATGATCAGCTGTAATCACAGCAAAAAGGTTCCAGTCAGTATTCACTGAGGAGAGCTGAATGGAAATGAACAGATCACAGGAAACGGTTGTTTGCTTGTCAAAGTAAATGTTTTATGTTTCAGCTTTTACATGAAATAAAATTTATCCTAAAATTGTACAATACACTGATGATTTGTCAGTGTATTAAATCATGAAAAGTTAAGCTAAAGTTGCTTTGAACAGGCTGTGAAAACAAATCATATGATCAGATCATATCACATGATATGAGCAGATCATTTCTGATCATAGACCCAGCATGAGAGAAGTCATTTTATTTTTAAAGTTGTGCATTGCATTTTTTAAGTGATTATTTTGATGTTTTTATATGATGTCTGTTCAGCACTTTGGTCAGTTTTGCTGTTTTAAAAGTGCTTATAAATAAAGCTGGCTTGGCTAACAACCAAATAAATCAACAAAAACATGTTGTTTTTTTTTAAGTCCAAATTCTGTTTTCCAGCTTTAGTTCATTTTTATTAAGAACATGAATGGATGAAAATATCTTTGGATCACAGAGGTTGAAAACACCTGGCCAGGCTGGAGCGCAACAAACTGTATTTGTTGCGCTCCAAGTTTCCACCTCATCACATGTCCACAGGAAACTGGAAGTGGGAGCAGCAGAGAATCAAACATCTGAAATGAAAAGCCACACACAGCACACGCCTAACAGTGAATAAAAAGGCCTTGGTGAGCGCACCATTGAGCGTGAAGGCTGTGGGCGCAGGAAAGCCCCTGCCCTGTCTTTCATTCTGCTAAAAGCAAACAGATTTCAGAGATCAGTGAACTTCCAAACAGAGAAAACAGATGTAAAAACCACACAGACTAAAGCCCATCTCCTGCCTTCCTCATCCAGCCAGAGAGCAGAAGGTCACACACTGATGAGCCCAGATGTGTTTGATCTAAATCTTACTGTATGAGGGCCTTTTCTCCTTTCTGCTCTTTTTTTAAAGAAATGTTAATATTTGTAGAAAATACAGAGTTATTTTGACCTCAAACAACAAAAATCTACTATATTTTCATCATTAAACAAAAAATATAAATAAAAAATAAAATAAAGATTAGAATATTGTGTAAAAGTGTAATATTTCTAGATAGTTATCTCAGAAAGTGGAACTCTTACAGAATAATCACACATTGACTGATATACTCTGTTTCTTGTTAGTTTTGATGATTTTGGCTTACGGACAATGAAAACCCAAACTGCAACATCTCAGAAAATTAGAATGCTGTAAAAAAAGTTCATGAAAACTCATGATGTCACATCCCAACAACCTTTCAGTTGAAAAAAAAAACAAAACCCAAGAAATGCATTTTGGACCTGAAGAGGAACG